TGTGTGTGTGTGATATTTTTAAAGGGTTTTTTGTGGGAGGTGGGGTTGGCTCTCCTGTAAAATTGTAAAAACTGCACATACTGTATTTATAAAAACTGACGGCAGCTGGGCCGGTGAGTGGCCGGTAGAGCACGTAGGAGCGCTAAGCCTTTACTAAGTTCATATTCTTTAGCTAGGATAGGGTCCTAAGCCCTGACTGTTTATCAAAAAGTGCACTTCCCAGATATTGCGTTTTTGTGCACGGCTTAGTCACTATTATACACGTGCTGACTCTCTGCTATATCGGCCTCCCACTCTTTCTCCTTCTTCCTCCCTCCTCCTCTTTTCTCCCCTCTCCTCCTCCCTCTTCGTCCTCTTTCTTCACCATCTCCTCCTCCTCCCTTCCTCCTCCTCCTCCACCCCCTCTTTCCTTCTCCTCTTCCTCCTAATCAGCACCACTCGGCTGTACACATTCATAGCAAAAATCTACCAAACTGCAACGAATTCATCTCATCTTTAATTATTAAACAGTATGTGTACTGTTTGGACCATTCATTTCTGCCCAGTTTGGTGTTTATGCAATGAAAAAAAAGGTTAAATAGTCACGAACTGATTATGAAGTTTCCGATCCTGCAAACGTGTTTGTCAAAACTGACTGCTTACAAAGCTTAAAAGCCTTCAGTAAGCTAAGAGTTAAATTCTTCTTTTAAAAAATTAATGGTTTGGAATGTAGCGTGCAATGCTGGATATTGACAGCCGGGGTCTAAGCTGTAACGAAATCCTCATTCATTGTCTCTACGCCTGTCAGACAGACACACACACACACACACACACACACACACACACACACACACACACACACATGCATACACAAATACACACTCAATGGAAATCAAGTCAAGAGGAAACATGGGCTTTACACCCAGAATCTCCTTATGAAGGACAGGAATTCACTTCAACAAAAAGACCAACCAGAGAGCCCAAGACTGTCTTGGACCAGGCAGTAAAGGGGTTAAGACGAAAGGCCTAGGTATGATAGGGTGTAGTACTTAAAATTGCTGGAGAGCGATATATGGGGACGCAGAAAAGATAATGACAAACCGTATGTTGTTATAAAAGTGTAGATAGAGCGGCCAGGTATGCTTAGGGTGTCTTTTCCGAAAACTAGGATGAAAGTGGATTCTTTGTTGTTGTTGTTTTGTTAGACGTTTTTTTCTGGAATTTCTTAAGTCTTGTTGTTTATCTTTTTTCTTGATGTCCCACAGAAAGCATTCATTTTGAACCTTCCATCTCCTCCTTTTCAACCCCCCCCCCCCTTCCCGACCTCTCACCACCTCCTGTCCCCCAAACGTTTCTCCCAATCCCTCTCCCCTCCTCACCAAATCCTGTTCCCGAACTACCAAAGCCGGCTCTCCCGCAGTTTGGCCGTATGAATGGATGCCCGTGTTGTCCTTGTTCCTGACCATGGGTTGGTGAAGCCGCAACAGAACAAGCTGGGGGACCAACTGAACAATAGGACTAGCTCTAGGAGCATCCACAGCACGGACAGTATGGGTGAAATCAGAAATGCTGCAGCAAAACATGGATACATAAACACATACACCACACAAAACATACATAGACATAAACACAGACACAGACACAGAAACAGACACAGACATAGACATAGAAACAGACAGACACAGACACACACACACACACACATACACACACACACACACAGACAAACATACAGAGAGAGCGAGAGAGAGAGAGAGAGAGAGAGAGAGAGAGAGAGAGAAAAAAGAGAAGGAGC